TAATGAGGTGCCAAGGATTGGCGCTGTTACAAACTCATAATAAAAGGATTTCTCTTTACTCATCTAATAGAGAGATGTCTTATATATAGTGCTTACTGTGGGTTTGTCATATTTGTGTACTAAATGGTCATGGAACCGAGGGAGGACAGCTTGGGATTTATTTATCGAGAGCGGAACTGGTGTGCCAGAAACTGCTGTACTCGACTTGCCCAATCAGAGAATAAGAGATTTGCAACAATTGCAAAGTAATTTTTCTCTGCTACTCAGCTTTTCAATCCAAGAAACCTTTCTAAGGAAATGTTCTTCTATAATGGGGTTAAAAATCGAATAAAATGTTGATAGAACTCTGTTGATCTAGTTTTCGCAACTTGGTCATGCTTACAGAGTGACTTAGTTGGACGCACCTTGTCCGAAATCCTTTGCTATGATTATTATCACAATTACCAGTGTCAGATCGTAGACGTAATCTGGGAATTATGGTAACATTATAGCAGAGGACTACAGACAAAGTGCGTCCAACTAAGTCGGCTTGACACTAAGACCAAGTTGTGCAAACTAGGTCGACCCACTTATATACATCGAAGGAGACTGCGACCATACCGAGGGCCACACCGTCTTGGTCTTCATATCTTCGTACGTGTTGAAAGGTTGATGCCGCTTTTATCTTCCCTCTAAAAAACTTGAAAAAGCCAATTACCAAGCTTTCTTTAAGCATTTCCATGAGAGGGTTGGGCATGCAGAGATGCCCATAAATAGTGTGTATAGATTTTTTTCTGTCATAACGAGAAAGCGAGATTACGCGACACAATTTCACCCAGAGACTCAAACGTGTTGTGTAACACAGACGGGCTAAGGTTTTGTTGCTTAAGTGGAAACTTTCTTGCTTCTTAGCTCGCAGATCCTCAGTTTCAATTCATTTGGGCCGGAAGGAGGGCTAATGGAGGAGGAGTCCAACTTACAAGTTACCTTTATCGAGAATGGCATTTCAAAGTAAAATTTACGGTAAGCATCCATCTATCCATTTACTTCATCAGGAACAGATTTGAAGCTTGTAACTGTCAACCTTCTATAGAGTTTAAGAACACAAATCTTTACTGCCTCTTTAGACTTACTTTAAGCCACAAAATCATTGATAGATAAAGTTGCCACGACTACAGGCTCCAGGATGAGCACAGGAATGGTAAATTGAGCGTAGACGTCAGTGCCTATCTCATAACTTAAGATTCACAAGGAAGTTTTAGGCGATTTGTGGACTGAGAATTAAATTTCCCGCAACGAAATGGATAAATATTCCATGATGCCACTAAATTCCACTTAGCCTTTCGTCACAAGAAGCTTTTTTACCCTTGCTGGATGGTGGTTTTAATCTTGCCTGGGTTTCATCAATTCTCCAAACAACTGTTGATGAGTGTTTATGTGTTGCCACTTGTACCACAAAAAAGTCGCCTTTGAATCCCGTCCGGGATGCTGATGAAACCAAAGCAAGGTATAAACTTCCCTCCAGTTCACATTAAAGAGCCATTTCGGAGGAGAGACTAAATGAATTTTCATTGCAATGTGAAAACTTCCATTCGTTTCATTGTGGGAACTACAACTCTTCGCGTAAATTTGAGCGGTCTCTGTTTGGTCGAGTTCCTATTCAAGATCTATTATTATTTTCGAAACCTATTCTGGACAGCATTATGAGTAGACCATAAATTGGCGTATTGAGGATTTTGTAGTGGAATTATCGATGAGGCAAACTTTAATCTCATATTTTTCGTTTATAAGTTGGTTTTCGAGACTACCTAAACGAAGTAGCGTGAATACACATATATATTTTTTATCACTGTATACTATTCAAATTAAGGTGGTCTCAAATCTACCACTAACTCCTGAATAAGGGCTGTATTTACCCCAGGTCACATAGGGTCCATTATTACCTCATGCGACCTTGTGTGAATACAGATCTACTGGGGTTTTGAGACCTACTCAACCCGAATATAAGTAGTGTAGTCGAATCTAAATGCAAATATAAGTTTGCTGCATCGAAAACCCCACTACAAAAGTGTGAAATGGGAGAGGTCTGGCATATTTGGATATTCATGTATGTCCTTTGATCAGGTGGCATCAGTGGCAGTGCGGCGTTGTGGCAGCATGAACCTGACTGGTTCGATTCCCGTTGGGGGTGTTGATGAGGTCCACCCTGGGGGGGGGGAATGCATTTTGAAAGACAGGGCTTATTTAATTGCAATGGCTTCATAAGATCTATTTATAACATTGTAGGAAACTTTAACTATCAGTCCTTCATACAAATATAGGGTGAATGGAGTCATTAAACTGCTCCTCCAAGTTCATTTATGAAAGGACTAACCAAGAAAATTCGCAATTTATGTGGGTTCCGTAATCCAGTGCCATCTTATTAATGAAAAATTATCCTTTAATGTAGCCAAAATGAGCCAATTAAAGCTGTGCTTGTAAGTCTATTCGATCGTAACAGTAGTGTGGTAGGGAGTGAGAGTATAATTTGAGACTATCAGTAATTCTTAAGCTAGACTTTGAGTCACGCTGGATCACTAATGTTGAAATTCATTGATATCATGAGGTCTACTAATTTACTTGGTTGAATAGTAAACTATACGTGCTTATATCACATTGAGCAAACTAGGTCAACCAAAGTTCTATCTCAAGATTTATAGATAGTATAGAGTACTACTCACATTTAATATGAGTAATTTAATATGTTATCTTTGAAAGGCCACATCTGACATAATGTCCACTGGCGTCTGTGTCCATGCGGTTGAGTGGTAACATGTCATCATTTCAAGTTAACAACATGCTTTTGAATTCTGTTAGAAATGCTAGTGAGACTGATGTGATGCCGAAAATTGTGTCGAGCCTAAGTAAGAAATTCTTTTGACACTATTCAAATAAACTTAAGCGTCCTAGGCTGATAAATATTTTTTGGCAAAAATAGCTAATAATTTGTATATTTAATCACACCAAAACTAGGTTACGACGTCGATTTTAATGGAAAATACATGCACAAGGGCTGTATCCACTCTATTTCGTTTAAGATAACGAAGGACTAGTAGTTGTATTTTCCCACAATGATGTGATTAGTTCCCATATTTTTAGTGAATTTTCAGAGCTTTGCTTCCAAATTGGTATTCTCAACCATGCTGGACTGCGGTTCCCACTTCTTTATCTCATCAGTATCTCCATTTCTGGTAGAGTAGCGTATTATCTCGATGAGAGGATGAGAATACCTTTTTGGTAATTGAGGCGACATTACATATGAGACATACGAATATAATTGTGAGAAAATCAAACTACCAGTTGTTGATAACTTTAAAAAATAAAGTGAACACATCTCTTATATCAGATTTACTGGTAGTCTTGAAAACCTACTTATAAACTAAAATGCATGCTTGTCTTATCGACAGTTCTGCAACAAATGTGATTTGCTTCAGCCTTACCTAATATGCAACAATGGTGTTTGGTGAATTTGTACCTGTTTTCGAGTCCTGTTGCTTCTGAGACCTGAACGGAGTCGAGATGGCCGCCCAGCCCAGCCTAGCCTTGACGATAAAAGCCTTTTGGTGGTGGCAAGGCTAAGAGAAATTCGATGGCCTACTCACTTGACGGATTAGGGTCATATGCAAGTTTGCTGTATCATGCTCGACTGATCAGACCAAAGCGAAGACGGTTTCAACAGCCATACAAACACGTTTAAGTCTTTCCTAGACAGGTGCATATTCACCCAGGTATAGAGTAATCTGTGTATGTGTATGTGTATGTGTGTGTGTGTGTGTGGCAAGCGGTGAGGTGACTACAGTGTGTTGTTGCGTGTCATGGCGGTTAACTGGCTGGAGCTGTTGGCATGCTGCGCGCTAGAGCAAGCAGCTGCATCCACATTTGCAGAGGCCGCCTGGCCGCCTCGGGTCAACCGGGCGACGATGACGACGAGGCGACATGGCCGGGAGAGAGCAGTGCATGTGCGCCAGGCAGAGGCGGCAGGCTGCTACCTTGAACGAAGAGGGACTCGCGAGTTGGCTCACGAAGGGCTCTGGTGAGTCGACGGTTCATGGTGGCGTAGACAGCCACCACTTGGGCGCGTAGTTGGGCCAGTTGAGCCAATTCGGTCAGCTCGTTTAGCTCGGCCAGCTCCTCGGCGTCCACGTCGTAGACGCCGGCCGCCTCGTCGTACAGCCTGGCAGGTCCGACAGTCCTCGGCCTCTCTTCCACGCCATCGGGCCAATAGTATCCGCCCGTACCGGTACCGGTACCGCCACCGGCCGGCGTGAAGAGGCCCTCGTAGCCGGGCAACGAGAGAGGCGGTATTTTCAGACTCGTCTTAGCTGTTCTGTCGTTCGAGGCGGCACGCGGGGCGGCCACGCAGGCACCCGCCCGACTGTACAGGCGTTCAGTTCGACTCGCGTTTGTCTGCTCGTTGCTGGGCGTAGTCTGGGCTCGACGGTAGCCCGAGCCTCGAGTTCCCACGGCCCGTGAGCGCAGCAACAATTGCTGGGCGTTCTGAGCTCGCGCCGAAACCCCCGGCCGGCCCGAGTGGTAGACTCGACCCGACTCCGAGTCCGAGGGTCCGAGCGTGCGGAGGTCGATCGGGTCGTGGGGGCAAGTTCGAGGGTGAGGGATCGGGCCAGAGGGAGGAAGCGGAGTTGGGGGCGCGTCAGAGGAGGAGGAAGAAGAAGCGCTAGTGGGGCTGGGCCCTAGGGCCAACTGACCTGTTCGGCGGGCCGCCTCGAAGAGCAACAATTCGCCTCCGGCTTGACTCTTCTGCCGGCCGGTCGGCCGGTTAGCCTCCGCGTTGTTGGCTGCCGGATGGACAAACGGGCCGTCAGGTTGGACGCCGCCAAAGAAGCAATTCGTCGGCGGCCCTGCGGAACCGGCTGGGGCCAAGAGGCCGTTGGAGAGAAGGTAGGTGACTGAGGCAGCCGTGGTGCTCGAGACCAGAGGTATCGCGTTGCCCGACTTGGCAACCGGACTCGTTGTCGTGGTCAACATGCCCGGAGTCTGGTCGTAGATACCGGTGGGAAACGAAAATACCGGCTGGGAACTGGGCAATGTGGCGGAGACCAGCAGACTGTGATAGGCTGCTGCGGCGGCTGCAGCAGCACCAGAAGTCGAATTGAGCGGCCCACCAGAGCAGAGGGTCGCCTCTAAGCCGGGGCTGACGTCCGAGGACAGAAGACTGGGTGAAGTGACCAAAATGCCGGACGAGACGACTGGATTGATCAGGAAGGCATCGCTCTTGCGATTGAAATGGAAATGTATTGGGCAAAAATTCCAAGATGATGCAAATCGAAGGATTTTAGCATGGACTTAGGATTTAAACAAAAAATATTATATACGAAGAAAAGTTGGGTTTCAAGGAATCTCTTGTTTCATAATTGTTGGGATTACTTCCATTTCGAGTAGAAGTGTTGGGTGAAGAGATTTGAAGGTCGGTTCCACCAAAAGACGACGGTGAATTTCTCTTGACCAGCTGTCGATTGGCTTTACTGGAAGATTCATGCTGACGCTGTTT